TTATGTGTGTGTATGTGTGTGTGTATTGATCTTGTTAACGTAATTAATAATTCGATAATCCGACATTCTTCTATCTTGAAATCGACACACATACTTTCGGACTATCTCTGCAAACATTAGATATCGCTCAAGTCGTAAACGAAAATAATATTTTGCTTTGAAAGCAATAATATATTTCAAAACTTACGTTTTCGCTTTTTTTTTTTTGCGATCTTCTTCGAAAAAAAATAAAAATGAGCATATCTTTAAAGGACTTTTTTCTCAATTTTTCGATGCTTTACACGCGTGCGAAATTCATTCTATTTAAATTCGAAACATCAAACGACAGTAGCCCCGATATTTTATATATTGAAAAACCAACTGTCATTATGTACTCATAACGACTACATAACAAGTTACAGAATACAAGCCAGGCGATGTTTGTTTATGTGTAGGTACACAAGGGCCGTGTACTGATATACATCCCTGTCAAAAATATTAGACATGCATATTTTCTTCATTTATCTGAAATACTATTATTCGCATTGTTATCTATTAGCTAGCGGCATTATACATAAGTTTAAAAGATTCATGAAACATAGGATAATTCACATCAAATTCCAAAAATCAATTTTTAAGCTAAAATTTTTAATAATAGGTCGTCTAATATTTTTAATCATTGCTGTAGTACTGAAAACCTATACGTTACGTATGTTGGTATATTATAAATTTTCAGTGTATTGGCAACGGATTGGCAGCACATATTGGTAAATACGGCCAAAGTCATCGCGGTATCATTCGTAGTTTGTATACTGAAGCGTAAACGTGCGGAGCGTTACATGTCGTCTTCCTACGAAAGTTTAGTTGAATCAGAAGAACAGAGACATCGAAAATTATACCGAGATTAATAGTGATATAAAAGATATTTATGAAACATAATTGAGGATCACTTAAATTGGAAAATATTCATCATGGAAACTTATATCGAGAATAATAAAAATATAAAAATGTTGATGGATATCGAGGAAGAAGTAATGCAAAACCTCAAGAAAATTTTTGACGAATTAACTACGAGAACTTCAACGATTCACAAACAAATTAAATCGCTTTATACTCGTAATAACATACTAGAAAAGAAGATCGAAGCTCTCGAGTCAAGAAATGAAAATCATTCATCGCCAAATTATTTGCCGGAATCTACAATCGAGTCCTCCAACGAATCCTTCGACAGCAAAACGTCTCATTGTGAATGTACTCACGCGATATTGAACAAAAAAATACAATTGTTAAAACTACAGCTAAAGTCGAAAAACGAAATAATTGCGATGTTGGAGCTGCAAATATATATCACACATTTATTTGATGAGAAGTTTAAGAACTTGAACGATCGTATATTAATAGGGCACAACATAAAAGTAACTCGTTAATATTTTAAATGTTATGAATATTATTAGGACTGAAAATACAAACGTAATTTCATAAATACATATTGTTTTTACAGATTGGCAAGTTGGAAGAGGAAATTAAACGACTATTAAAGACCGCAGGGTATATAAGATTAGGAGTACAAGAGGTATGCAAGAGAGATATCAAATGTGTTCAGATAATATCGAATTGTGATTTTGACATTAGCGGGATAATCGATGTTAAAGACTGCTCCTACATTCAATGATATGTTATGAATCTATAGTTGCTTTTCATTTATACCGATTCTCAAATAATTCTCACTTGTGGCATCATAACTCAGTTGAATGCACATTCCTTTTGCATTCTGACAAGTGAGATTTAACTGAGTTTTTGTCTGTAATCTGCACAAGCTCGAGATCGTGTGCTTCAGTTTTGTAAATTCACTGTAGAAATAAGGTTATGAATCTGTGTTGTCATGTGATAACCTTTACCAAAGCAGGCAAATAATGACGTTCTTAATCTGAGTATAAAAAATACTCAGCTCACTCAGACTTCATGAAAAGCAACTTATATTCATTTTATTAATGTAGATATAGAATTTTTAAATGTGGACGCAGGCTCAGCTCGCGGTTCCGTATTCGATTCGAATCTGAACTCACTCTAAGAAGACAACAGGTTTATTCACGTCGTATGATCCAGCATATTTTAATGTGCTCCTACTCACTTCCACGACTGCGTTAGAGTGAGTAAATGCTATGGAGCATTTTAGAGTATGCTAGAGATTATGATGCGAAAAAACCTAGGACGTTTTATTGTATATTCATATTGATGCTGGAATTTAATTCAGAGCAGCCGAAATTTAACCTCAAATATAATAGACATGATTGTAGCAATGTAGGCTGCGTCAAATTAATGATAAATTAATTGCTCAAGTTCCACTTAAATGTTATTACATCATTATTATTAATTTATGAATGAGGAGCAGACATCCAAAATGTATTTTGTTCAAAATTTATAATTTTTAAGAACAGAAAAAGGAAGCGACAAAAAAATCACGCATCTTATAAAAATAATTTGCCAATCAGTAAGATGCCAAATTTTAAACAAAATTGCTAAACTATTTCTAATGTTAAACAAATGCATTCTGTTTGTCTCTGGTCGACAGAGTACACTTCGAATATTTAAATTTTTTCCAGCACGTAAATTGATGGTGAAAAAGAAACTTTCAGGACTTTCGTAGAATAACTTAAAATATAAATCTTTCAACATTGAACGCTATGCCACTTCTAATTCAAAAGATGAAATTTTGGATAAATTGCATTTTGAAAGTCTGCTGCTCACAAATTATGTCTTATGTAACATAATTTCACATGTTCACAGGAGGGCGAAATGATTGATGAGGAGAAAATGATAACCAGATTATGAGGAATGTTAATAATTAACAATGACAAAGGATGATAAACCCAAGGTGCAAGTAAAGGAGATTGAGAAGTTGTTGCTTTCCTAAGTTTATGATCTGCAAGAAATTAGAACATTTCGTCATGTTACCACTGATAAAATTATTACTGTATACATATTTGGGCAAAAATGTATTATATAGAATTATATAAAAATGTATATATATATAATTTTATATAATTGTATATAAAAATAAACATAATTTATATCTAATTATATATTTATGTATAATTATATATAATTCTACATAAAATTGTATGAAATCATATATCATATGTACATATACATATGTACATATAAAATATGTTTAAATGTCTAAATATGCATATATTTTTGTATTCCTACTTTTTAATGCGATCGCGACAGATATTGCGATTTTCACAAATGTAATTGATTTTTATAATAACGATTAACTTTTTGCAATTAATTGTACTAAGAAATAAAATTTGAATTTTTTTTATATTATGAACGTGAATAGTCATTTCCAATGTATTTTTGCTTATTGAACACGAATCCGTTACTTAAATTTGATTATTAGTTTGCAATTTTAAGGAAAATGGTGTCAAATATTCAAATCACGACGATTTTTAATATTAAGTTATCTGATCGAATATCAAATATATTTTTCAGATATCTGAAATAAATTTCTTAAAATTTTTAAGAAAAGAGAAAGCAAAAGCAAAAATAGCAATAATAATTGACCGACAGTGGAACAGGATTATTATTGCAATACATTTTCAACATTACTTAGTAATCAAAGTCTAATATTATTAAATTTTTCGCAATAAACAATAGCTTTTTAGCATTTTCTAGTAACAATGTGTGTGTGAATTTCGATTATCATTATAATCATCACACAGAATCATAAACCGTTCAAAATCAGTTAAAAACAATAAAATTCTGTATCAATGACGCAAACTTTTATTTTAAAATTTCGGACGACAGTTACTCCACTTGCGAAAGTGCTATCCAATGTATATATTTATAAAAATTGTCTTCATTATATCTCAGCAATTGTTGAGTTTTATGTCAAAAAAAGATTTGTCAAACGTAACCGATACACATCGTTTTAACAAAATTAGACATTAAACTCGTAACACAATTTAGATAAATTATTGCACAATTTTTTTGAAAGTTATATTTAAATTTATATTGCATTGTTTGTAAGAAGCATTACGATACTGTATGTACTATATAATTATACTATAACATTGATTATTTAAGGGTCGCTCGTAAATATCCATTTGGCCTATTATTTATAGTCAGTTCTTATATTTAAATTTTAAGTACAGTCTCAGAATGTAAATTAATTACATTGATAGTTGGTTTTTATTTCAAAACTGTTTCAAATAATTATGTCTTAAGAAGCTAATACGGCTCTGCAATCATATTCAATTCTTATATTTAAGGTCTTCTTAAATAAAATCTTCAGATATTATAAACCAAAGGAGTCGTATTATCATCCTAATGGGCTTTCTACGGTAAATATTCGGAATAAAGGAATCATTTTTCATGACTCTGACTTTGACATGTATTATCACGGTCATGACCCTAAATGACTGCCAACAGGTTTGTAGTTGTCACTGGTTAAAAAGTTGTTATTGTAAATTTATTTATTATCTTATTAAGTAATTACATTAAGTGATAGAAAATAGCCATAATTTCGAAAAACTTGGTGGATCTCACTTTGAAATATCATATGACGAAATATCTATGGAGAGTGAAGTGGATATCGCATTTAAAATCAAACACCCTTAAACAGGCATGAGGGATGGGAAATGTCTGCTTTATTTTATGTTGGCATATAAGAAGAACAATTATGTAAATTATATAACAGAATATATGTAGAGCATATATATACGTATTTGTATAGTAAAATATATACTTTGTGTTCAAAAATTACGTTTTCTTTATAAACTTGTCTTGATAATAACTCTTTAACAAATAACGAGCGATTGCTGTAATCTGTTGAAAATTACTCAGAATAATTGACAACGTGTTAAGATTAAAGTCATCGGAGTTGATTTCCTTATTATAAATATAATATTTACCACCTCATCCCCCTGAAAACCTATAAAGCATGTACATTTTTTAAAACGGTCTTGTAGTATTAATATGGAATATGAATATCAGGCTTAGTTTGTTTGATGCATAAGTCAATGTCTATGATTTAATAATATGTATAAAGAAAAAAATATGCAGATATAAGACTAACTTTGTTTTATTAAATCCCACTTCGATATCATTACATTACTCAAGTTTCACTTTAATATAATTACATCATTATTAATAATTTATAGATTATATGTCTTATTGTAATAATATAATTTGATATAGGACGAGATGATTCACGAAATTGAAGAAGGAGAATTAGATCTTGAGGAATGCAATTCGATTTCACCTAAAAAGAAAATTAAGAAAGAGATACAGGAAATTAGAAATAAGTTGCTGCTTTCTTTAAATTTATAATCTACGGGAACATGTCATATAATGATTAAATTATTATCGGTTTTAATGATAACAGTTTTAGATATTTTTGTATATTAATAATTTTATATTTTTGTAACGTAGACTCCATTGTTTATTTTATCCAGCAATTTATCATACAAAATTAGCAAAAAAAATACATCATTATTATCTGCGATAATAATACATCTTCTGCTAATTTGATATATTTTTTAACATAATACAACTCTTGTAACATAATGAAGTATAATTTAATCAGTATATATAATATATAGAATTCCCGAAATTCGCGAATCAAACCATTAGAAAGATTCCTCGGAAAATTAAGTAAAAAAGTTATTTGTAAATCTTTTCTTTAAATTTTGAAATATAAAGATTTAAAAACGGCCCATTACAGATTACGTTTGAATGGTCATCCATAAGTTACTCGTGGCATGTGTTAATGAACATTGGTGAGCGCTCACTTTAACACACTTCTAAGTGATCATCTAAACATAATCTGTAATTGATTATATTTAAATCCTTA